CTGTCCCTCCCTGTACAGTGTCAACCGTCAATGAGAACAGAGGAGACAGGCTCCTGGAGGTCTTTCCTTGTGGGGCCCCTCTCTCAAGAGGTCAGGGCCAGAACTGACAGGAAATGTAAGATTTGCGCCCTGATTCACATTTTTAACACGTGCAGACATGGAAGCCCAGGCAGGGGAAGGGCGTGTCCAAGTGAGGGACTTCAGAGAGGCCTGAACTCCCACAAGACTCAGCCCTGTCCCCATGGAGGCACCCACCACCTCCTCGCAGACCCCCATTTCCCTTCTGTGGGCCTGACTCCCTGGGTGGGGGAGACTGATCCCCAGAACCCCTGGGGCCTGTGGTTCCCTGAAATCTGTCCCAGCTCCCAGCAGCCTTAGGACACAGCCTGCCCTTAGCGCATGGGTGGCATTAGGTCCTCAGACTCAGAACTGCCCAGGGGAGCTGTCTCCCTCTGAGCAAAGAGGACCACGTGGGAGGGGGGCTGGGTCCCAGGGGGCCTGGGAAGGACAGGAAGAGGGGGAGAGTCTGGGGCTGACCCTTAAGCCCCCCTCAGGCAGAGTCCTCACTAAGTCCCTCCCACCGCCCACCTGGCACCTTCTGGACCAGATGAGGAGGAGTGGGGAGGGGATAAGAGGTTTCTGAGGGGCAGATCTCCTCCGGGTGACCATCCCTACAGCCCCTCCCTCCCTTTCAGCCCATGATTGTTCTGGGGACAGGACCCTGAGCTGACAGCTCAGCAGACAGGTCAAGGCCCCTCACCTGAGACCAGGAGCTCCAGGGGCTCACTGGGGAGTGACAGCAGGAAGGGGGAGGTGCTGACTGAGCTGTAGCACCTGTAGGTGCCCCCGTGGGCTGAGGTCACAGGACTCATGGAGAACTCTGCCTGGTACTGCTGAGCTGGATGCTTTGATCTCAGACGCAGGGGGGGATCGGCTGCCCCCTCTTTGGACAGAAGGAACGTGTCCCTCCAGCTCTGTGACTGACACAGCAGGGTCACGTTCTGTCCTGAGGCCACCCTGGGGCCTGGCTGCACCAAGAGTGATGGTCTGTCAGGCAGGTGTCCTAGAGAGAGGAGGGAGTTGAGGGCTGCCTGCCCACCTTGTTCTGGCCTGAGAGTCACCAGGCCTCTCTCTGAGGACCCTCCTCTCTGTCTGTTTCTGTCTCTCTGGGTTTCTCCATCTCCCTTCCCACCCCCCGTCTCTCTTGTCTCTCTCCCTCCCTGGGGCCTGCACTTTCATTCTGGTCTCCCCACCTTAGACCCCAGCAGGGGCTGTGCAGAGTCTGGTCCCTGAGTGAACCCACTGGCTCCTCACCTGCCACCAGGATGTCCAGGGGGTCACTGGGGGCCGACCACTCAGAGGAGACGTTGTATCCACCGTAGCATCTGTACCGGCCCCCGTGGGAGCCATTGGTAATGTCCAGGGGGAAGTGGGCCTGAGAGAGCCCAGCCTGGGGCTGCAGGACAAGGCTCTGGGGGAGGTCCCGTCCCCCCTCCTTGTGCAGAGCGAATCTGTCATAGCCGATATCAGAGCGACACTGGAGGGTCAGGCTCTGTCCAGAGGCCACGATGGGGCCCTGCTGGCTGAGGAGGGAGGGCTTCGGAGACTTACCTGGGGAGACCAGACATGAATTACAGGGGCTGCTCCTCCCATAACTCCTTTCTCCTGTCCTGGCCCCCAGGTCTCACGGTCTCTCTCTGTGTCTCTGGCCTAGAAGCCTCAGTGCTCCCCTCACCCTCTCACATGGGACTCCCATCACAGCAAAGATGCCAATAATGTACCTGGTGCCTCAATCTATGGATGGGACAATAATGGGACTCACCTGGGACCAGGAGCTCCAGGGGGTCACTAAGTGGTGAGCACACCTGAGATATATTCCTGTAGCAGCCATAGCATCTTAATGTCCATCTGTGAATGGGGGTCACGGGGCCCACAGGAAACAGGGCCTGGGACTGCCCACTGGGCTGTGGCTGTGAGTCCAGGGTCCAGGAGAGCCTGTGGTCTCCTTCCTCAGTCAGAATGAACCTGTCAAATCCCTGCCCTGAGCCACACCTGAGGGTCACATTCCCTCCTGAGGTCACCACAGGGCTGGGCAGGGCTGAGAGGCTGGGTTTGCTGTAGGATCCTAGGAGAGGAGGAGGCAGCGTGTTAAATGGGGCTCACTCCTCCCTCATGTCCCCCAGGGCTGGGCTGTGAGAGGGAGACACCCTGAAAACAGACCCCCTTCCTGAGAGTAGAGCCTGTGGCTGGGACCCCTGAGTGTCCTCTCACCTGTCACCACCAGCTCCAGGGGGTCACTGCGCTCTGACCCGCTTTTGGAGCTGAGGTAGTAACACTGATATCTCCCTGCATCATGCTCTGTCATGTGTGTGATGGAGAACTTGGCCTTGTCTCCTGGCTCCTGTAGCTTCTGTCTTTTCCATGGTGCTGGGCTTCCCTCTTTCTCCAGATGGTACTCCTCAGCCCCTGAGGTCCCCTCACACCAGATGGTCACGGGGCTCCCCCGGGGGATCACAGGGCTTGGCTCAGCCCAGAGGGTGGGCTTGGGGAGGGGCCCTGGAAGGAATCAGAGGCTGGGTCACAGGACATTCCCACCCCTGGTCCCAGCTCTCAGTCCCAGATGCCCCCCATCTGTAAGACAGTACCTTCCCTAGCTTCCCATGGGGTGGCCCTTGTCCCCAGTGAGGAGTGGGGCCTGGGACACCTGGGGTGACTCACCTGCCTGCACTGGGGTCCTGAGGCCCACACTCAGCCCTGGAAGAGAGTCCCTGTGAGAGATTTGCCCTGAACCCTGAGCAGCACCCTCCTGCCCATGAGCCTCCTGAGTCCTGGGGTCCTGACAGCCCAGGTCTCCCCTCCCCCTCTCATCTCACCGAGGCAGAGCAGGGCCATGAGGGTGGGGGTCATGGCGTCTTCTCCCTGTGGCCTCAGCTGAGTGGATGGAGGAGATCGCAGGGCCAGCAGGATGTACACAGAGACACACAGATGGTGGTCACTTAGAGGCCGGTCCTCCCTGTCACAGGGTTGTCACATCAGCAGCCTGCAGGTGAGTGCACAGCCTGGCTCTCATTTCCACGGTGAAGCAGGAATTAGACCCGGAGCCTCCTGAGACGCCCCTTGCAGGTGAGGTGACCCAGGGCACGTCCTTCCCTGTCAGAGCCTCCCCCACGGGGCCTCCTCCCTCCTCAGCCCGTCCATCAGCACCTCCCTGTGGTCCTCACCATGGACAGTGTCACCCGGGCCCTGGAGACGCTTCAGGAAGACCTGGGTCCCTGTGGCCCGCAGAGCTCAGATCAGCAGGGACACGCTCACCCTCCAACTGTGCAGCTCAGGGCGATGTTTCTGTGAAATGAGCTCAGAGGGAAATGCAGGGAAATAAGGGAAGGAAACAGGTCCCTTCTGTGGCCCCAGATTCTGGGTTATCTTTCTATCACATGTTTCGTCATGAACTTCCCTTTTTCTCAGCCACGGCCTCCAGCTCCTCCTTCCTGGGAACAGCCTCAGGGTCATTTCCCCCCTCAGGGCCCCTCGTTCCTGGGGCAGAGCTGTTCCCCCGGGACCATGGCTTGTCCTAGACAGTAAGAAGTTGTCATTTGGCCTAGAGCTTTGATTTGTTGAGAAAACCCCCCTTTATTTAAATATTTGTGTCCCACCTGCTTCCTATTTCAACTGAGCAATAATGTCTCAATCAGGTGTTTTCTTCCATTTTTTACAAGAGAGCACCCACTCTTACTTACTCACTCTTCAATGAGTTTAACTCCTGGAGGGTTACAACATTACACGGATTCAGTGCCCAATGGTCTTAGCATGACAGTTGCTCTGGAATTTGGCAGGAACTGTCCACTGTCCCCATGAGCATGGGTTCCCTCCCCAGGTGACTGTGGATTTGTGCGCTTTGCCACCAGGAGTCACTGTGCTGATCTTTGCTTTGTACACGGAGCCCATCCCTTGCCCAGACAGAGTTCAGTTCCATCTCCCGCACACACCTTCAGCTTTACGGACAGCTGTGAGCTCCCTCTGGTCCCCAGACCCGCCTGCAACCGGCAAACCTGGTCTGAACCACAGTTTCCACACATATTTGTGCTCATAGGAGTCCTGCTCCCAGCAGGCCCCAGGGCCAGCGGGCAGAGCGCCACTCATACTTTTCTTCTTCTTTTTTCCCACCCCAACAAGTTTGATAACATACACACGCACACACACACACACACACACACACACACATTATTTATTTCAGAGAGGAAATGAGAGGGAGAGAGAAACATCAATGACGAGAGAGAATCACCTATCGGCTGCCTCCTGCACGCCCCACACTGGGGATTGAGCCCCCAACCCAGGCACGTGCTCTGACTGGGAATTGAACCACGACCTCCTTGTTCATAGGACGACGCTCAACCTCTAAGCCATCGTGGCCAGGCTCTTCTTCCAGTTTTAAAAGTTTTCTGCATCTAATTATAGGTTGAAACCCTAGGTGTGCATTTTGACTAGAAACATCCCTCTCAGACCTTCGTCTCTCCTCTCTAAATGCGTTTGCTCTGCCACAGTGTCTATGACAGCAGTGTCCAATGTCCCGGATTGTTCAGAAGACCTCGCTGCATACTGGGTGGGCCTGTAGTTCCTTGTGTGCGATGATTTCACTTTCAGATGACATTTTGACTGGTTCCACAATGCTTCAGATTTTCTATTTATTCCAGAGGCCGTCTTGGAAAATAAATGCTCACATCGCACCAGGGCAGAGCGTGGCCCTGAGGGTGGGGGTCATGGTGTCTCTTGTCTCATTCTGGCTGTTGATGGAGGAAACCAAGGTGCCATCAGGATGGAGAGATACAGGGTGTGGCACCGGGAGGCTGGCCCTCCCTGCCTCAGGCTGTCACCTCAGCAGCCCCCAAAAAAGGGGAACAGTGTCTCCCAGATGTTTAGCTCTCATTTCCTCGATGGATCAGGAAATAGACCCGGGGCCTCCTGAGACGCCTTTGCAGGCAGGTGACCCTGTCAGAGCCTCCCCCTCGGGGTCTCCTTCCTCCTCAGCCCGTCCATCAGCACCTCCCTGTGGTCCTCTCCATGGACAGTGCCACCAGGGCCCTGGAGACACTTCAGGAAGACGTGGGTCTCTGTGGCCTGCAGAGCTCAGATCAGCAGGGACACGCTCACCCTCCAACTGTGCAGCTCAGGGCGCTGTCCTGTGACAATGAGCTCAGAGTCAAATGCAGGGAAATAAGGGAAGGAAACCAGTCTCCCCCTCAGCCCCAGAGTGTGGTTCTCTTCCTATCCCAGCCCCTGGTCACTCCCCTTTCTTGCAACAGCATCCTCCCCAGCAGCCTGGGAACTCGCCTCTGAGTCCCTCCTCCCCTCAGTGCCTTGTTCCTCAGGAAGATCTCTCCTCCTCGTCCCGGGTTCCTGTCTTCACAGTCAGTGACAACAAATGTGTTATTGCTCCGATTTGGGGAATAAATCGAATTCTTATTTGTTTTTATTTTCAATATATATTTTTATTGATTACAGAGAGGAAGGTAAAGGCAGAGATATAAACATCCATGTTCGTCAAGGAACAGCAGAATTGTAGGATAGTGTGGAGTCAGGCCAGGGCCACCTTGGTCCTCCTCTGTGGCTCCCCATGGTTCATAGCAGGAAATCAGTTCAATGCAAATGGAAAGGAAAGAGCTGGAAATCCATAGTAATCAATGAAATCGGTGCAATCACTGATCACCAGAGAGACAGAAAATAAAAAACTATGAGGTGTCATCTTACCTGTCAGAATGGCTGTCACCAACAAATCAACAAATGACAATTGTTGGTGAGAATGTGGAGAAAAGGAACCCTGGTGCACTGCTGGTCGGAATGCAGACTGGTGAAGCCATTATGGAAAATGGTGTGGAGTTTCCTAAAATAATTAAAAATGGAACTGCCATTTGGCCTAGTGATCCCACACTGGGAATATATTCTAAGAACTCTGAAATAGCAATCAGAAAGAACATATACACCCCTATGTTCATAGAAGCCCAATTTAAAATAGCTAAGATCTGGAAAAGCCCAAGGGCCCACCAGCAGATGAATGGGTAAAAAAGCTGGTACATTGCCCTGACCAGTTTGGCTCAGTGGATAGAGCTTCGGCCTGTGGACTGAGGGGTCCCGGGTTCGATTCCGGTCAAGGGCATGTACCTTGGTTGCGGGCACATCCCCAGTGGGGCATGTGCAGGAGGCAGCTGATTGATGTTTCTCTCTCATCGATGTTTCTAACTCTCTATTCCCTCTCTTCCTCTCTGTAAAAAATCAATAAAAACAATAAAAATATATTTTAAAAAAGCTGGTACATTTACACCATGGAATGCTATGCAGCTGTAGAAAAGAAGAATTTTTTTACCCTTTGAGACAGCGTGGAGGGACCTGGAGAGTATTATGCTAAGAGAAATAAAAACAGTTAGAGAAAGGTATCACATGATCTCACTGGTATGTGGATTCTAAGGAACAATATAAACTGAAGAATAAAACAGATGCAGAGACATAGAAACATGAACAAACTGTGGAATCTCCAGGGAAGGAGGAGGGGGCTGGGTGGGTGAGGAGAAATTAACCGGGCGCCTTATATGCACATATGCACAGCTCAGTGTCACAGACATTAGTGTGGGGAAGGCAGGTGTGGGGAGGGGTGGCTCCTGAGAAGGGACTGGCGATGTAGCTGCCAGGAAAAAGTCTGTCCTCAATTCAACTGTGCCAGACCCTCAAATGAGGAAGACCCACCAACTGTAGCATCAAGGTCACTGGCAGGTACAGACTTGGATTTGTTTCCAGTTTGATATTTTTGTTGGCAGTGATCCTTCCAAGGCTGATCCTTTTGGGGAAATTGATCTAATTAGAGGTGGTCCTTCAAGGGTTCAGATCCATGTACACAACAGCTTTCTCAGGCGATCTTCTCCTGACTCTGTGGCCACGTCTGGTGTTGAGCCTTTCAGTGCAGCCGGCATCAGCCCTCACCCTTTGGTAGAAACACTGAGGCACAGTGACCCTATCGCTCCTGGTGGAAGGTTGTTGTTGCAGCTAGTGATTGGCCCACAGATTCATTTACCAATATTAACAATGGTGGTAACTATTCCTATAGGAAATGCAAGTGTGACCTCCAAACTGATTGATGTAAATGTATAAAACAAATAAATCTGAATCAATTTAAAACTGGATTGGAAAATGTTTTAAAGGCTACTTAAAACAATCCGTATGCATTCTTTAAATAAAATGATGCCAACAATTCAAAATTACTTATTTATTATTAAAATATTATGACTTCTGCTCAAGATAGCAGAGGAACTAAAGGAAGTACTGAAATCCACCTACGACCACAGTGAAATCACAACTAAACTACAGAGCAACCAGCATTCAGAACCACCTGGAATCTAGGTGAACAGAAGGTCCCAGGTAAGGATACAAAGAAGAAGCCACATGGAGGTGGTAGGAGGGTGGAGATGTGCAATGGGCTGGACCATGTGGAGCAGGTATCAGGACTTTTTTATTTTTTTACTTTGTTCTTCTTGGTTTAAAAATAATGCCACAGCCCAGCCAGTGTGGCTCAGTGGTTGAACATTGACCTATGAACCAGGATGTCACTGGTTCGAATCCTGCTCAGGGCACATGCCTGGGTTGTGGGCTCCATCCCCAAAAAAGGGGTGTGCAGGAGGCAGCTGATGTTTTTTTCTCCTCAATGTTTCTATCTCCCTAGCCCTCTCTCTTCCTCTCTTTCTAAAATTAATAAAACACATTTAAAAAATAAATTAAATGGAATCCCAGGGTTATAAAGATACCATTTTGTTGGGATGAATGTGGCCCAGCATGAAAGGCTGTATAGAAGTGAATCCAAACCAGCCATGTGGATGGACCCTCACACACAGGGTGAGAACAGAAGGGTAGTGGAGGAGAGTGAGCGAGGCCAGGGAGGGAGGGAGAGCAGCCCAGTTGGATGGAGGAGGCGTCCTCTACAGGGACTTGGCCCAGGTTCTCCTGGACCCAAACCTCGCCTACCACGTCTCCTCCCCTGGACGTTCTCAGCAGACAGTTTCTCCAATTATGGTCCATATTTTCTTTCAGCACCTCCTGGGGTCATCAGATGGGCTCCAAGGCTCCCCCACTCTGAACGGTGCATTGTTCCCTCTGTGTTCACATCCTGGCTGCATGGAGGGTCCTTCTGGTGTCGTTTCGAGCCTGAAATAGCAGCACCCCGAGCACCACCAGGACCAAGCCAGCCACGCCCATCCGGATGAGATTCTCCACTGTGTAGTCTTGGGGATGGGAAAATAAGAATTGTGGGTAAAGAAGTCTCTGAGGTCAGGGCAGATCCAAACCTTTGGGATTCTGGTGTCTTCCCTGGACTCCCACCTCCCCTTCACATCAGCATCCCAGTGATGTCTGAACTCAGCACCTGCTCTGTGTCACCGTGTAAGAGCTGTGCCCAAGAACTGAGGGTGAGAGAAGTTTGATCACAATTCAGAAATAACTAAGAGCTATGTGTTCTGTGTTCAGCCTGAGACAACACCCCATGGGCTTATTCCCCTACAGCTGAGAGATCCCACGTTCTCAACAGCTGGCGACCCAGGGTCCATGGAGGAAGGGTTGGTGTCAGGGGCTCCTGAATCTCAGGTGCACGAAGGGGTGAAAGTCTGGCCTGGGTCTCCTTCACCCCACCCCGCCCAGGCCCCTCCTCTCTGGGGTCCGAATTTTTATCGTCGCCTGGAATTTTTCATCTATTGATTTTTTTTATTAACTGTATTAAATACATTTTTATTGATTTCAGAGAGGAAGGGAGAGGAAGAGAGAAAGGGAGAAACATCAATGATGAGAGAGAATCATTGATTGGCTGCCTCCTGTACACTCCCTACTGGTAACTGAGCCTGCAACCAGGGCATGTGCTCTAGGCCAAAATCAAACCTGGGACCCTTCAGTACATAGGCTGAGGCTCTATCCATTGAGCCAAACCAGCTAGGGTTGAACTCATTTATTATACAAATGAAATACCTACAGTGGTAGATATATTTACCAAATGAGAAATGTGGGCATATGGATGCTAATGGTGTGAGTGGTGGTGGTGGTGTGTGTGGGTGGGGGGCAGTTGTGTTCTCTGCCGAGTCTAATGACATTCCTGCTCATTTCACTCACATCTCACTCTCCGTCCCTACCTGTCATCTCTGCTGAGGTTCAGAAATGGGGTTCAGGAGTGGGAGGTCCTGTCTGTCTCTACTCTCTTATGGGCTGGACTCTGCTCTGTGGGACCTCCTCCAGCACCTTGTTTATTACTGTCACCTGCACTCCTACGGACAGTGACCTGAGCTGACTGTGCACAGAAAGGACGGGGTCAGGCTACTCACCTGAAACCACCAGCTGCAGGGGGTCGCTGGGCTGTGACAGCAGGTAGGGGGAGGTGCTGTTTGAGCCATAGCACCTGTAGGTCCCCTGGTGGCCTGAGGTCACAGGACTGAGGGTGAAGGTGGCCTGAGAGGGTGCAGACGTGTCCTGCAGATGGAGGTGCTGGGGAGGGTCCAGTGACCCCTCCCTGTGCAGGTGGAAGGTGTCCAACCAGATCTCAGACCCACACTGCAGGGTCACCGTCACTCCCCAGGGCACTGAGGGTCCCGGCTGGGCTGAGAGGGAGGGTTTCCTGTACATTCCTGGGGAGAGGAAGGTTGTGATGTGTAGGGAGCCACCACTCCCCTCACGCCCTTGACCCTGAGCTGAGGGACCTTGTCCTTCTCCAGAAACTCTGTGGCCCCTTCCCAGCTCCTCTCAGTCCCCCTGGGGGGGTGTCTGTTATCTCCATGGCCCTCACCGCCTTTCTCTCTCCCTCCCCTAGGCCTCTGCTCAGCTCAGCCTCTGCTCCAGGCCCCTGTCCTGGACCCCATCACCCCCAGGTGACCCTGGGCCCAGAGCCCTGATCAGACCCTCAGACAGGGGCAGGGCTGGCTCCTCACCTGCCACCAGGATGTCCAGTGGGGCACTGGGGGCCGACCACACAGAGGAGAGGCTGTGTCCACTGTAGCATCTGTACCGGCCCCCGTGGGTGTGGTTCACGTGGCCCAGGGGGAAGTGGGGGCTGTGCTGCCCATCGAGACGCTGGGCAGGTGTGAGCCCCTCGTCCTTGGTCAGAGCGAATGTGTCAAAGCCGGCCTCTGCGTGGCACTGGAGGGTCAGGCTGTGTCCAGGCAGCACCAGCGAGCCTGGCTGGGCCGAGAGGGCGGGCTCCCTGTGCACACCTGGGAGGAGGGGACAGTGGCACCAAGGGGCACCCCATCGCCCACTGGGCTGCAGTGAGAGGTCTCACATGTCCCTCCCTGAGCTTCCTGCCTATGGGTCTGTCCCCAAGAGGCCAGTGTCACTGACCCCATGAGCCCAGGGCTCCAATGGACACACAGCACAGTCGTTTTAGGCCGGAGAAACAGATGCGTTTGCACCCGGGCCTGTCCCTCACCTGTGACCTCGATGTGCAGAGGTGCACTGGGCTGTGACCACACGTTGGGGTAGGAGCTGGAAGAACCATAGCATCTGTAGGTCCCTCCATGGGGGGGGCCCACAGGGCTCAGAGAGAAGATGGCCTGCCAATTTTCAGCATGCATCCTCCATTCTGCTTCCATGTGTCGGGGAGGGTCAGCCCCTCCCTCCTTCAGCAGATGGAAAGGGCCCGATGTGAGGTTAGAGCTACAGGAGAGGGACATGTTCCCTCCTGAGGCCACCACAGGGCTTGGCTGGGCTGAGAGGGAGGGTGCATCGCCCACTCCTGAGGGAGGAGAAAGAGTCTGTGTTAAAGGGACTGTCACCCTCATGCCCCAGGTGTGTTCTGTGAGGGATGGGGTCCCCTGAGGCCACACTTTCTTCCCTCTGCCTGTGACCTGGAGCCCACAGTGGAGAGGGGACCCGGTGTCTCCCTTACCTGTCACCACCAGGAGCAGGGGGTCACTCCTCTGGGACAGTATGTCCTCAGTGGTGTAATATGCACACTCGTATAGCCCTGCGTGGGCTGGGGTGGTGGCTTCAATGAGGAAACCGGCCTTGTTGCTGGAGTCCTGTGGGATCCTGGTTTCCCAGGGCTCAGAGCCCCTCTCTTTATATAGAATGTAGGCACTAGCCTGCAGAGACCCCTGACACCAGATGGTCACAGAGCTCTTGTTGGTGACGATGGGGCCTGGGTTAGCCCAGATGGAGGGTTTGGGGACGTCTCCTGGAAAGGAATCAGACATGAAAGGTCAGAGGCGTCCTTCTCCCGCTCATGACGTGAATGAGCCAAAGATACCATTGAATGAGCACCTACTGTGTGTGAGGCACATGCTGGGGTCTGTCACTCATCTCCTCTCACCTCACAGCAGTCATGCACCAGGGATGCTGACCCCACCACCCACTTCACTGAGGCTCAGAGAGGTTAATCACGTGCCCCAGGTCACCCAGTCTGGGCGGGGCAGGGCTAGGACTGGAATGAACCTCCTGGATGAGGACTGTGGGTTCCCTGTGCTGCCCTCACTCTCCTCCTCCCCCCTTCCCAGCCCCCAGCAAACCAGCTTTGTTGTCTGGGCTCCTCCTCTGCAGGGGCCTGTCCACATCTCATCTAGAGCTGGGGTCCTTCCTCATTACCCACACCCAGCACAGCAGGGACAGGAGGGGCAGGGTGAGGGCTGGACTCGGGGTCTCTCCCTCATCCGTCCCCACCCACAGGGCCCTGATGCCCGCTCGTGAAGGTCAGGCTGGGCTGGGGGCTCTGCCTTCCTGAGCTCTGTGAGGCCCTTCTGTCACCTCATCTCCCAGCAGCCTGTGAGCAGGATGGGACCAGGGATGAGCAGACAGGAACCCGACACTCAGAGGAGAGAAGGGACCGCCCAGCCCCACAGCAGGAGCAGCAGAGCCTGGAGCTGAGCCAGGGCTGTTCCCTCCTCTGAGCTGAGCCTGAGCTGAGGGGTAGGAATGGGAGACAGGACCCTTGTCCTGCCTGTCCCTCCCTGTACAGTGTCACCGTCACTGAGACAGAGGGGACAGGCTCCTGGGGGTCTTCCCTGTGGGGCCCCTCTCTCAAGAGGGTCAGGGCCAGAACTGACAGGAAATGTAAGATTTGCGCCCTGATTCACATTTTTAACACGTGCAGACACGGAAGCCCAGGCAGGGGAAGGGCGTGTCCAAGTGAGGGACTTCAGAGAGGCCTGAACTCCCACAAGACTCAGCCCTGTCCCCATGGAGACCTCCTCGCAGACCCCCATTTCCCTTCTGTGGGCCTGACTCCCTGGGTGGGGGAGACTGATCCCCAGAACCCCTGGGGCCTGTGGTTCCCTGAAATCTGTCCCAGCTCCCAGCAGCCTTAGGACACAGCCTGCCCTTAGTGCATGGGTGGCGTTAGGTCCTCAGACTCAGAACTGCCCAGGGGAGCTGTCTCCCTCTGAGCAAAGAGGACCACGTGGGAGGGGGGCTGGGTCCCAGGGGGCCTGGGAAGGACAGGAAGAGGGGGAGAGGCTGGGGCTGACCCTTAAGCCCCCCTCAGGCAGAACCCTCACTAAGTCCCTCCCACCGCCCACCTGGCACCTTCTGGACCAGGTGAGGAGGAGGGCTGGGGAGGGGATTAGAGGTTTCTGAGGGGCAGATCTCCTCTGGGTGACCATCCCTACAGCCCCTCCCTCACTTTCAGCCCATGATTGTTCTGGGGACAGGACCCTGAGCTGACAGTACAGCAGACAGGGTCAGGGCCCCTCACCTGAGACCAGGAGCTCCAGGGGCTCACTGGGGAGTGACAGCAGGAAGGGGGAGGTGCTGACTGAGCTGTAGCACCTGTAGGTGCCCCTGTGGGCTGAGGTCACAGGACTCATGGAGAACTCTGCCTGGTACTGCTGAGCTCGGTGGTCTGATCTCAGATGCAGGGGGGGATCGACTGCCCCCTCCTTGGACAGAAGGAACGTGTCCCTCGGGCTCTGTGACTGACACCTCAGGGTCACGTTCTGTCCTGAGGCCACCCTGGGGCCTGGCTGCACCAAGAGTGATGGTCTGTCAGGCAGGTGTCCTAGAAAGAGGGAGGGAGGTGAGGGCTGCCTCCCCACCTTGTTCTGGCCTGAGAGTCACCAGGCCTCTCTCTGAGGACCCTCCTCTCTGTCTGTTTCTGTCTCTCTGGGTTTCTCCATCTCCCTTCCCACCCCCCGTCTCTCTTGTCTCACTCCCTCCCTGGGGCCTGCACTTTCATTCTGGTCTCCCCACCTGAGACCCCAGCAGGGCCTGTGCAGAGTCTGGTCCCTGACTGAACCCACTGGCTCCTCACCTGCCACCAGGATGTCCAGGGGGTCACTGGGGGCCGACCACTCAGAGGAGACGTTGTATCCACCGTAGCATCTGTACCGGCCCCCGTGGGAGCCATTGGTAATGTCCAGGGGGAAGTGGGCCTGAGAGAGCCCAGCCTGGGGCTTCAGGACAAGGCTCTGGGGGAGGTCCTGTGCCCCCTCCTTGTGCAGAGCGAATCTGTCATAGCCGACATCAGAGCGACACTGGAGGGTCAGGCTCTGTCCAGAGGCCACGATGGGGCCCGGCTGGCTGAGGAGGGAGGGCTTCCCAGACTCACCTGGGGAGACCAGACATGAATTACAGGGGCTGCTCCTCCCATAACCCCTTTCTCCTGTCCTGGCCCCCAGGTCTCACTGTCTCTCTCTGTGTCTCTGGCCTAGAAGCCTCTGGGCTCCCCTCACCCTCTCACATGGGACTCCCTTCACAGCAAAGATGCCAATAATGTACCTGGTGCCTCAATCTATGGATGGGACAATAATGGGACTCACCTGGGACCAGGAGCTCCAGGGGTTCACTAAGTGGTGAGCACACCTGAGATATATTCCTGTAGCAGCCATAGCATCTTAATGTCCATCTGTGAATGGGGGTCACGGGGCCCACAGGAAACAGGGCCTGGGACTGCCCACTGGGCTGTGGCTGTGAGTCCAGGGTCCAGGAGAGCCTGTGGTCTCCTTCCTCAGTCAGAATGAACCTGTCAAATCCCTGCCCTGAGCCACACCGGAGGGTCACATTCCCTCCTGAGGTCACCACAGGGCTGGGCAGGGCTGAGAGGCTGGGTTTGCTGTAGGCTCCTAGGAGAGGAGGAGGCAGCGTGTTAAATGGGCTCACACCTCCCTCATGTCCCCCAGGGCTGGGCTGTGAGAAGGAGACACCCTGAAAACAGACCCCCTTCCTGAGAGTAGAGCCTGTGGCTGGGACCCCTGAGTGTCCTCTCACCTGTCACCACCAGCTCCAGGGGGTCACTGCGCTCTGACCCGCTTTTGGAGCTGAGGTAGTAACACTGATATCTCCCTGCATCATGCTCTGTCATGTGTGTGATGGAGAACTTGGCCTTGTCCCCGGGCTCCTGTGGCTTCTGTCTTTTCCATGGTGCTGGGCTTCCCTCTTTCTCCAGACGGTATTCCTCAGCCCCTGGGGTCCCCTGACACCAGATGGTCACAGGGCTCCCCAAGGGGATCACAGGGCCTGGCTCAGCCCAGAGGGTGGGCTTGGGGAGGGTCCCTGGAAGGAATCAGAGGCTGGGTCATAGGACATTCCCACCCCTGGTCCCAGCACTCAGCCCCAGATGCCCCCCATCTGTCATACAGATCTGCACCCCTCCCCCTGCTGCCGGGAGGATGGCCCTGGAATTAGGGACAGACTCACCTGCCTGCACTGGGGTCCTGAGGCCCACACTCAGCCCTGGAAGAGAGTCCCTGTGAGAGATTTGCCCTGAACCCTGAGCAGCACCCTCCTCCCCATGAGCCTCCTGAGTCCTGGGGTCCTGACAGACCAGGGTCCCCTCCCCACTCCCCCCTCCCATCTCACCGAGGCAGAGCAGGGCTGTGAGGGTGGAGGTCATAGTGTCTTCTCCCTGTGGCCACAGCTGAGCAGACGGAGGAGGCCACGGAGGAAGAGGATGGACAGAGAGGTGCACGGGTGGTGGTCACTTGGAGGCCAATCCTCCCCTTCACAGGGTTGTTACATCAGCAGCCTATAGAGGAGGGCTCAGCCTGGCTCTCATTTCCATGGTGAAGCAGGAAATAGACCCAGAGCCTCCTGAGACGCCCCTTGCAGGTGAGGTGACCCAGGGTGCATCCTTCCCTGTCAGAGCCTCCCCCACAGGGTCTCCTTCCTCCTCAGCCCGTCCATCAGCACCTCCCTGTGGTACTCACCATGGACAGTGTCACCTGGGCCCTGGAGATGCTTGAGGAAGATATAGGTCCCTGTGGCCTGCAGAGCTCAGATCAGCAGGGACACGCTCACCATCCAACTGTGCAGCTCAGGGTGATGTCCCTGTGACAATGAGCACAGAGGGGAAATGTAGGGAAATAAGGGGAGGAAACAGCTCTCCCCCTTTGGCCTCAGAGTGTGGTTCTATTCCTATCCCAGACCCTGGTCACCTCCCCTTTCTTGCAAAAGCATCCACCCCAGCGGCCTGGGAACTCGCCTCTGAGTCCCTCCTCCCCTCAGTGCCTTGTTCCTCAGGAAGATCTCTCCTCCTGGCCCGGGCCCCTGTCTTCACAGTCAGTGACCGTAAGTGTGTTATTGCTCTGATTTGGGGGACAAAATGAATTCTTATTTATTTTTATTTTCAATATATATTTTTATTGATTACACAGAGAAAGGGAGAGGTAGAGAGAGATATAAACATCCATGATGAGAGAGAACAACTGACCGGCTACTTCCTGCATGCTGCACACGGGGGATTGAGCCCAGCAACTCGGGCATGTGCCCTCAGGAAGAATCCAACCTCAACCTCCTGGTTCAAAGAAGGATATGCAAACACTGAGCCATGCCGGCTGGGCTGATTCTTATTTAAATCGTCCTCCAGTGTCAATTAGGTGTGTGACCTTCACCCTCAACCTACAACATCTTGATTCTCAGTTTCCTTTCATGAAGCACATTGTCAAGAACCCAACTCCTTAGAGTGGTTGTGGCGTTGGTGCTGCGGGGACCTGGAGGGAGCCATCCTGGTTTGCTTCCACACCTGACTAAGCCTTGTGAAGTGAGCCATGAGTGGTGTTGTTCAGAACTCCACAAGAATTGCATGATTGCTATACCCACGTACAAAACCCCATCTGCTCTTGATGCTGAGAAAGGCTATGCACACTGTTTCTGAAACATGTGGCCATCCTCAATGCCCAAAAGGGAAGTGGATGTTCCCCAGATGAAGAGGGAAGCAGATAGACAATGGGGGCCAAAGTTGAGTGGCTACTCTGCCTGGGTGCAGCCAGAAGTCATCAGTGAGGAGCTTCCCACCTCTGTGAGGACAAGAGAGGGACCGAGGGTGGCCCCACCCAGGGAGGGGAATGAACTTAGGGTGAAAGTTGGAGCAGGGGTGCCCCTCCACATGCTTTTGATATGGGCACTGGGGTCTCTCTTTCCACAGACCCAGCCCATGGTCAGCACTGAGCCATGTCCTCTGTGTCCGTGAGTGAAATTGATTCAAGCCATTCTAGCCAGGCGTGGGCATCTGTCCAGGTGTGAGTGTGAGACTCACCTTTGGCGTGGGCCCTACTGGGCACATCACAGTCAGATGCTAACTTAGGGAGAGAGGACGCCATGGGGCAGGGCAGATCCAACTACCCACCTCTTTGCATCCTGAACAGCAGGACAGGCCTGGGAGGGACTCTCTGTGGAGAAGCAGGTGTGTGGGAGGGGACCGTCCAATAGGAATGGACGTGAAAGGGAAATCCCCGGGGGTGAGAGGAGACATGGGTTTGCCTTTCATGATCCTGCCCCTTTCTCTCCACCCCACCTCTGCCTGCCTGTCCATCCTTCCCCTCCCCTGCAGGATGGGGGTACCATGGCTGTGCCGGCCCAGCTCTCCCTGACACAGTCATCAAGTGGGACCCCTTCATGTGGAAAATGCTACAGAAAGGGCAGTGCGGCCCATCCCTTAGGGTACTGGCTGCTGATGCTGCTGCTTTCCTGAACATATCAGGCTCCCAGACCTGACACTGGGAAAGGTTTGGGATTTCGCTGACCTAGAAGGCAAAGTTGTCCTGAGCAAATGGGAATTGTTCATTGTTGTGTGTCTTGTGCATGTACCCAGAATGCATTGCAGCTGTCTCTGAGGAACTTGAACCAGGCTGTTCCTCCACCCAGACTTCACCACAACCACAGTGCCTTGCTGTACTGTGGGACCTCTGTAACGGGGTCCCGTGGGCTGTAAAATCTGAAGACAAGGCCAGACATGGTGCCATTTTTTATCGTTTTGAGCCCCATATGTGGATTTCTGTCTGTGCTAAGGGGAAACCAGCATCGCTCACCTTGAAGCTGCCTGTGGCTGCCCGTGGAAGCGATTGGGAGGTGAGTGGTGTTGGCCCTGGTGGGAAGCTCACGGAGATGAGTCTGCAGGTGCCGTGTGCTTGGTAAAGGGCACATTGGAGCAAGCACCTGTGCCCATGTCCTGGCCTCCAGCCTTGTGCCACCTGCTAAGTACAAAACGTGGATTGTATCCCCTGCAGAAAAAGCTAAAGAGGGTGAGATCTTCCTAGAAACTGATGAAGACATGGATGAGTTTGTGTCTGGATTGGAAGTTTGTGAGATTTTCCTGGAGACAGGGTTAGCTTCTACCTGACTAGCCTACCTTTGAGTGTTATGTGACCCCTTGGGAAGCTTTCAAAGGATATGCTTGCCTTGGCTTTTCACTCAATCAATCAGAATTTAATAAAGGGCATTGATCCTCCTCACATCTTTACTCCTGAGATTCTCTCACCATCACACAGGGCCGTTTTATCAAAGAGCATCATAGGATCCAGTCCTGCTGCAGGTTTCCCTGCTATTAAGGAGCTAGATGCCTTTAACAATGACACCTAAAGAGGGACCTTATGTGCAAGAGGACCTTAAGGAGAAAGAAGGTGCTCTATTTTAAAAAATTTTCACCCGAGGACATGCTTAGAGAGATGGAGGAGAGAGGGAGACAGAGAAACATGGATGTGAAGGGGAAACATTGATCAGTTGCCTTCTGCACATACGCTGACCATTGTTGAACCCACAACTCAGGTGTGTGTCCTGACGTGGAGTTGAACCAGCAACCTTTCGGTGCACAGGATAACGCTCTACCAATTGGGCCATGCCAGCTGGGTGACAGATGTACTCAGGCATGGGCCAGAGTCTTCAGAATTAATTTCAAAGGGCAAACGCTAATCTGCAAAGACTACAGGCCCAGAAACAGCAAGGATGGGGTCTCCTTAATGGGCTGGATGAACAGGAATCCCAGTTGCAGGAGCAGCTCAAGAAGTGAGCCTAATGCGCTGAGGAGGCCCAGCTGGTCACATCCCTGGAAACTGAAGGAACTAGTCAAGATTTACAGATCTCCACTTCTGAGGAAAGTCTGGCCAAGCTAGGGAAGAGTGGAGTCACCTACCACAAAGGACAGTAAATTGGGGTAGAGTGTGGAGTCAGGCCAGGGCCACCTTGGACCTCCTTAGTGGCTCCTTTATGGTTCATAGCAGGAAATCAGTTCAATGCAAATGGATGTAAAGGAAAGGGATGGAAAGGAAAGAGTTGGAAACCCATCGTAATCAATGAAATTGGTCCAGTCACTGATCCTCAGAGAGATGCAAAATAAAACACAATGAGGTATCTCCTCACCTGTCAGTATGGCTATCACCAACAAATCAACAAATGACAATTGTTGGTGAGGATGTGTAAAAAAGGGAACCCTTGTCCACTGCTGGTGGGGATGCAGGCCCTTTGGTGTATGTGATAATTCTCCAATTGAATGAGCTACCCTGCCACGGCCAGTATATTCATGATGTCATATATTGAATTCTTCATATCTGACTTTTTAAAAAGGTTTTTTTTCATGCTGTCATAATTTTCCTGAAGTTCCTTGAACATCTTTACAACCATTACTTTGAACTCTATATCTGATAAACTGCTTGCTTCCATTTGATTTAGCTTTTTTTTTTTTTTAAGATTTCTACTGTTTCTTCACTTGGGGCCTGTTTCTTTGTCTCACTCTTTTGCCTGCGTCTTTGTGTTTGTTTCTGTGTATTAGCTAGGTCTGCCATGACTCCCAGCTTGGTGGGGTGGCTAATGTGGTAGGTGTCCTGTGGGACCAAGTGGTGTAATCTCTTTGATCACCTAAGCTGGGTGCTCTAGGAATGTCTCTTGCGTGGTTTAGGTGGGCCCTCCTTTTGTAATTGAATCTTTAAAAAATATATATATATTCTGTCAACATTTATTTGCTCTTCCTACCTGGCAGGCTTGGCCCCGCCCCTGCCCCTGGCCCCGCCCCCTCCCCATGTTCCTCCCTTGGCCTTTCCCCTCCTTCCCTCAATCACCAGTCCCTTGTCTTCAATCTCTCATCTCCACAGACAACTGGTCAACCTGATGACTCTAATCCACAGCCAGAGACAAAGTCTGGGCCGGGCCATCTGGTTGACCCCATCACTCGCAGTCCTACTGCCGTAGGAGAGTAAGTAGGAGAGTAAGTCCGGGCTGGCTATCTGGTTGACCCCGTCTCTCACAGTCCCCACTGCTGCCTGAGAATAAGTTCAGGCCGACTATCTGGTAGACCCATCTCTCATGATCCTTACCGAGACAAAGTCTGGCCCGGCCATCTGGTTGACCTGAGCTACTGCGCAACCGTCAGTCCCTGTGGCCCCCCTGTGCAGGCTGTTTTGGGAGTGCTTGTCGACGGGGCTCATAGAAGGGGGAGGAAAAAATGGGGAGGAGAGAGCCGGCCCTCGGCCCCCCTGGGAAAGGGGCCGCGTCCGTCGTCACCCACCCCCATTTCCCCGTCCCAGCCCGGGGCGAAGGTCCTTGCGGGATCTTGTGAGGAGGCAATGGTCCCTGTGCCAGGCGCAAAATGAAGGAATGGACGCCAATGCCGCCATTGGCTCCCTGAGCGGTTTCTCCCCCACCCCCTTTCCTTCCCTGGACAGCCAACTGCGAGGCAGACCCCTTGAGAAGGAGAGAGGCCAGAGGCCAGGAGCGAAACAAACCCTTGTGTCAGAGGGCTGACTTTCAATAGATCGCGGCTAGGTAGCTGCTCTGCTATGTAGGAAACCCGACTCAAAAGCAGGTTGTCTAGGAATGGTTTCGCACCAGGTTCCCCAGGAATGTGCGTTGCTTGAAGGGCAAGGGGGCGGCCCACTTTCTGGCCACACCCCGTTTCCAAGGACGACGGGCTCTCCGCAACCGACTGTGTATTTGAGTCTTGATGGTATTGTGTTTGTGTGTGGGATCGACCCTCAGGCTGGCTGACTGTGAGGCTCAGCCCCAACCTCGGAGTGCCAGCTGCTGGGCAGATGCTGACCATACGAAGACGCATTTGCCTCAGCAGGGCCTGTGGTCTGGGAGATCTCCCTTTGGATGTGCTGCTTGTGAGGCTATATGGGTCCTGCTCTGATGTCTGTGAGGCTGGCCACTGGGGTTGGTTCTGGGCCTCTTGGGAGGGACTCTGGTGCAGGCCAAGGTCAGCCACTGCCTGGAGAGCTGGGCGACCCTTTTCTCATGCCTGCCCTTCCTGCCAGTCTCCATGTGGCTTCTGTAAATCCTTGGCTCTGTGACTCCTCAGCTAGTCTCCAGGTGGGAATTCAGGGTGATTGCTCCTTCATTCAGTTTTAATTCCAGTTTGGTCCTGGGAGGAGGTGAGTGTAGGAGCTTCTATACACTACCCCTCCACCTTGAAATCTGCATTTGCAGTTAACATTGGAGTTGTCAGTAGGCCCCTTGCAAAGGACTGAAGGAAGAGGACCATGGCAGCGTGGCACACACATGGTCAGCCACAGCCTTGTAGGGGTTCTGAGGCTCCTGGAGTCCTGCAGGTTGGTCAGTGAGGCTAAAGGTGGGGAGCGGGGAGGGAGGACAGCTGCTCTAGGGCCATTCATGGCAGCTGCTACCCATCATTCACTTAAAGCATTCTCTCACTTCTGTTTTGTTCTAAATTCACACGTTGATTATTGAGAAGTCTTGCTTTGATTTCAGAATGTAGGCATATTGCTTAGAGAACCAGGTGCCTCCCACAGGGTCCCAGGAGCTGCCCGGTTCACATCTGGTCTCCAGGCTGCTGCAGTCAGGAGGCCGCACCTCGCAGCTCCGGCCCCAAGCCAGGATGGGCTTCTGTTTGATGTACGTGCTATGACTAGGGGTTTTGCTGTGCTGTATGGGGGGGTGAGGAAGACATAGGTTTGCTTCTCCTTGGTCTGAAATGCAATTGGTTTTTAGATATTAATTATGTATCCAATGACATTGGGTACATTCTTTTCAAATTAGAATAATAGATCTTTATACTATTTTAGATTTTGTGTGTGTGTTTATGTGTGTGTCCAGGTGTGTGTATATGTTGATGTGTATGGCCATGTGTGCCCATGTATATGTCCGTGTACGTTTGTGTATATGTCCATGTATATTTGTGTATATGTTCGTGTGTGCCCATGTGTATGTCCATGTATATATGTGTGTGTATTTCATACATGCATGTGTATATATATGCGTGTATTTCAAATATGAATAAGTGTTCAGAAGCATTTAGCAGAGAAACTTCTGAACACAAAGGTCACTTTGCAGGAAAGTGTTTTTGTTGAATATATATATTTTTATTGATTTCAGAGAGGAAGGGTGAGAGAGAGAGAGAAAAACATCAATGATGAGAAAGAATCACCGATTATCTGCCTCCTGCAGGCTTCCCACTGGAGATTGAGCTCACAACCCAGGCACGTGCCCTTGACTGGAATTGAACCTGGGACCGTTCAGTCCGTAGGCCAATGCTCTATCCACTGAGTCAAACCGGCTGGGGCTACAGGAAAGTTTTTAATTACAGATTCAATGTAGTTAACATACATGACAGTTTAGTTTCATATTTCACCCACATGAGTGATATCATACGGTTCTTGTCTTTTTCTTTCTGACTTTCTTCACTTAGCGTGATGCTCTCCAGATCCATCCATGTTGTGGCAAATGGCAGTATTTAATTTTTATGGCTGAGAAACATTCTTTTTGTATAGTTACCACATCTTTATCCCATTATCAGTTCAAGGACATTTACGTTGTTTCTATGGTCCATTTCATAGGTTTGATGTATGATATTTACACTGTCATTCATTTAAAACATTCTTTCACTTCTGTTTTGTTCTAAATTCACACATTGATTATTGAGAAGTCTTGCTTTGATTCCAAAAAGTAGGCATATTGCTTATAGAACCAAGTGACTCCCAGAGGGTGCCAGGAACTGCCGGGGGAGCAGGTCTGGTCTCCCGACAGGCTAGGGCAGGGGTGGGCAAACTTTTTGACTCGAGGGCCACAATGGGTTCTTAAACTGGACCGGAGGGCCGGAACAAAAGCATGGATGGAGTGTTTGTGTGAACTAATATAAATTCAAAGTAAACATCATTACACAAAAGGGTACGGTCTTTTTCTTTTTTTTTTTTTAGTTTTATTCATTTCAAATGGGCCGGATCCAGCCCGCGGGCCGTAGTTTGCCCACGGCTGGGCTAGGGTCACTAGCTGAGTGTCCATGGGGAAGTACCCATGACTTCTGGGGTCCCTGCAGGCCCCCTCCCTGGAGTGTGGGGTCTGGGTCCTTCCTGGGCTAGTGGATGGCTAGAGCAGCATACAAGCTGGGCTCTTCTGGGGGCTCCTCTGATGGGGAGGAAGGGGTTGCACTTGTCTGCCGTCTAAGGGCCAAGAGGTTCAGCTGGGCGTAGGTCACATCCTGGGGGGCGTCAGATGCAGCCTGGAGCAGGGGGAGAGAGAGGGATGACAGTTTGTGGGGGTTGGGGAAACCTGGAGGTCTGCAGAGAATGGGACTCACCGGACTGTCCATCTGTCTGTCCTCTTCTGCTTGTCTGCCCTTTGTGTCCAGCAATTCCTCCGACAGGGAGGAAGGAGAGGTGGCCATTCCCTGCCTGGGTCTTGGTGTTGAGTGGTTCACCTGGGCGTACGTCACTCCCTGGGGGTCTTCATCCTGCCTGTTCTGCTGGAGACAGTGCCTCCTGTCATGTATCCACATGTTGCCAGAGAAATCACTTACACTTTAAATAGATCAGGCCCCTCTTCTAATGGAATCTACAGGGACTTCCTGAGCCTTGGGGCGTCTGGATGCTTCTGTGATTCTGACTCTTATCCTAACGTGCTCTCTCTTGCTCTCTTGGCTCCAGCCTCATGGCCCATCCTCCTGAAGAAGCATGCCCTGCCTCAGGAACTTTGCACCTGCTCTTTCCCTGTCCCCCAACCATGCACTCTATCCCCTCCTCTTGCTTTATGTTCCCTCACAGCTCTTTACTCTCTGGGACACTGTCTGCTTGTTTGCACATTGTCTCCCTCACCCACAGGTGAGCTCGAGGCATGTGGAGACAATGTGGCTCAGGGCTGCACTGTGGCCCCTAAATGGAGCCAGGAAACATCCCTGTCACATCTGCTGGGTGAATGAGTGAAGGGGATCCTGGGGACCTGTGGGTGAGTCACTCATTCCTGCCTCCTCCTGAGACCTGGGGCTGCACAAGGTCAGAGGGACGAGGGGCCGGCAAAGGGGGCCACATAGAAGGGGCCATGAGGTCACAAGGAAACCAGGAGGAGTGAGTCACAGCAGGAGGACCTGGGGGCCCAGAGGGGAGGTCAGTGTGGACGCTGCTGAGTAGCAGGTGAGGTGGGACGGGGAAGGTTCCATTGGATTAAACTGGGCAACAGAAGGTCCTTGGTGGCCTGGACAGGAGCAGGGGTCTCACCCGAGGGTCCAGCTCCACGCTCTCCCCAGGCTGTGGGTCCTTCACAGAAGCATCTGCTGGGACAGAACGGGGGTGTGTCTCCTGGCAGGTCCCCGAGATCTCAGGGCTGCAAACCCCACCTGCTCCCAGATGGGCCACTAACCCAGGGTGAGGTGAAGCGCCAGGTCACTCAGTGTGGGTCTCAGTCCTTCTCACCCGGACCCCCAATCTTCCTGCCTAGCCCTCCCCATCGCCTCCTGAAATCCCTGTGCCCCCACCCCCAGGGCCGCTGTCTCTTCCCCTCACAGGCTGCAGCTGGGGGAGGAGACAGGAGTGTTAAGGCACAGGGGGGGCCAAGGTCAGTGAAAGCAGGGGCTTTTGGGACAGGCCAACACTCTATTGACTGAGCCAAACTAGCTAGTGCTCCATATTTTCTGATTTGAGGTTCTGGAGAAATCCACTCGGCTGACCTCCACTATTGGTTTTCCTGTGGCAGATGCTTGGAGCTTTCCCTCCTGTGACCCAGGTCACCCCTACTCACCCGATGTTCTGGCTTTGCTCTGACGCCGGAAGCGGAGGAAGAGGAAGAGAAGGAGGGAGAGCAGCAGGATGAGGGCTACTGAGACCCCAATCAGGATGATCATGTTCCATTCAAGACCTTGAATACAAGTGATGTCATGAATGAGCCAATGATGTAATCAATGAGCACCTGCTGTGTGTGAAGAACATGCTGGGTTCTGTCATTCATCTCTTCTAACTTCACAACAGTCATGCGACAGGGATTGCGGAACCCACTACCCATTTCCCTGAGGCTCAGAGAGGTTAATCAGAAGCCCCAGGTCACCCAGCCTGGGCGGGGCAGGGCTGGGACAGGGGGATCCCTGTGTGTTGTTGTTACTGTTATTATTGTTTTATCCTCACCCAAGGATATTTTTTCCATTGATCTTTAGAGAGAGAGAGTGGAAGTCAGGGAGGAGGAGGAGCAAGAGAGGAAGGGAGAGAGAGAGAGAGAACATTGATGTGAGAGAGACACATTGAATGGTTGCCTCCAACAACATGTGCCCTGACCAGGGTGGGGGATCGAATCAGCAGCTAAGGTATGTGCCCTTGACGTGGGACCGAACCTGCAACCCTTTAGTCCGCGGATTGACACTCTAACTGACGGAGCAAAATTGGTCAGGGCATCATTACTATTATTGTTGTTGTTGTTGTTATTATTATTATTATTATTATTATTATTATTACTAGAGGCCTGATGCCCAAAATTCGTGCTAAGGGCTTGGCTTTCGCAGCCCTGGCTGGCCCTTACAGCCCTGGCTTCATCCGAAAGGTCATCTGGAAGGATGTCTGGACAGTTGTTTTGCTGTTTGGTCTAAATGGCATATTAGCTATTTATTATATAGGATTATTATTATTATTCATGCTGTTCCTGTACCTGCAGGTAGAACCACCCCTTTCCATCCCAGCCCAGATCCCTCTCCCACTCTGCAGCCTAACTCTCCCCCCCACCACAGTGGGGCCTGTGCACGTGGGGTGCCTCCAGGAAGGGCAGGAGGGAGGGCTGAGTCCTTCCTCAGCTCTAACCAGGGCCGGGCTGCATGCTGAGGGTCTTCCCTTTGAGGCAAGTGGGGGCCTGACCCACAGCCCATGGACCAGGACTCAGAGGAACAGACGTGTCCCAGGTCCCACAGGCGGGAAGGGGCAGAGCTGGGATTTGAACCAGGGCTGAGGTTGCTTCTCCTGACTCCACTGCTGCTCCTAGGAAGGCTGTGGAGGAGGCTGAGTCCCCAACACACAGGCACACACAGAGAGAGACAGACACACACAGACACACAAGCACACACGTGCACACACACATGCATGGAGGCACACGTGGGAACACATGCACAAATGCACCTGCGCAAACACACACACACACACACACACACACACACACACACACACACTTGCACACACGGTGCCCTAGCAGCCTTTGGAGAACTTGGTCCCAGTGAGAAGGAGGAACTTTCCTCGGGCCATGACCCAGGAAGTGGCTGAGCCAAGACCAACACTGAGCTCCTCCCACCCACCACCTCCCCCCAGACCCTCACTGAGTCCTCTGTGGGCCTGACTTCCCGTTGGGGGACCAATGCTCACAGGCTCCTCAATCAGGATGGAAGGTGAGGGGTGGGGGCTGCTCCTCCCCTGTGGTCCCCCAGCATCTCCATTCCCCTATCCTCCCTGGGAGAGAGGCAGAGCCCCAGCAGGGGAGCCTGCTCTTTCTGGGGATCGGCCTCTGCTGGTCACACTCCTGTCTTGGTGTCTCTGGCTAAGGCCACAGGACTGGGGACTGGAGGGTCAGGATGGGTTCCTCTGGCCTTTCTCTTTCTGGTCAGCTCCATCCTCGCCAGCCTCCCTCTGCCCACGGGAGCAAGTCTGGGCCTCAGGGATGAGGATGAGGATGAGGATGAGGCAGGCATGGGACCAGCTCTGGCTCTTTCCATCCCTCTGAGAGGTGAGAGTCGCCTCTGGGTGGCCCTCCTCCTGGTACTACCACACACCCATTGCAGCCCAAGGTCCCCTGGGTGCAGGGCCCTGAACTGACATGAGGACATGGGGGCGGGGCTGGGGCTCCTCACCTGAGACCACCAGCTCCAGGGGGTCACTGGGCTGTGACAGCAGGTAGGGGGAGGTGCTGTTTGAACCATAGCACCTGTAGGTCCCCTGGTGGCCTGAGGTTATAGGACTGAGGGTGAAGTTGGCCTGAAAGGGTGCAGACGTGTTCTGCAGACGAAGGTGCTGGGGAGGGTCCAGTGACCCCTCCCTGTGCAGGTGGAAGGTGTCCAACCAGATCTCAGACCCACACTGCAGGGTCACGGTCGCTCCCCTGGTCACTGAGGGCCCCGGCTGGGCTGAGAGGGAGGGTTTCCTGTACATTCCTGGGGAGAGGAAGGTTGTGATGTGTATAGAGAGCCACCCCTGCCCTCTCGCCCTTGACCCTGAGCTGAGGGACCTTGTCCTTCTCCAGAGACTCTGTCTGTGACCCCTACCAGCTCCTCTCAGTCCCCCTGGGGGCGTTTTATATCTCCATGGCCTCACCCCCTTTCTCCCTCCCTCCCCTATGCCTCCGCCCAGCTCAGCCTCTGCTCCAGGCCCCTCTGCTGGACCCCATCACCCCCAGGTGACCCTGGGCCCAGAGTCCTGAGCAGACCCTCAGGACAGGGGCAGGGCTGGCTCCTCACCTGCCACCAGGATGTCCAGGGGGGCGCTGGGGGCCGACCACACAGAGGAGCCGTGGTGTCCACTGTAGCATCTGTACCGGCCCCGTGGGTGATGTTCACGTGGCCCAGGGGGAAGTGGGGGCTGTGCTGCCCATGGAGGCGCTGAGGGGGTGTGAGCCCCTCGTTCTTGGTCAGAGCGAAGGTGTCAAAGCCGGCCTCCACGTGGCACTGGAGGGTCAGGCTGTGTCCAGGCAGCACCAGCGAGCCTGGCTGGGCAGAGAGGGCGGGCTCCCTGTGCACACCTGGGAGGAGGGGACAGTGGCACCAGGGGACACCCCACATCGCCCACTGGGCTGCAGTGAGAGGTCTCACATGTCCCTCCCTGAGCCTCCTGCCTGTGGTCTGTCCCCAAGAGGCCAGTGTACTGACCCCATGAGCCCAGGGCTCCAATGGACACACAGCACAGTCGTTTTAAGCCCAGGATACAGATGGGTTTGCACCCAGGTCTGTCCCTCACCTGTGACCTCGATGTGCAGAGGGGCACTGGGCTGCGACCACACGTTGGGGTAGGAGCTGGAAGAACCATAGCATCTGTAGGTCCCCCCATGGGAGGGGCTCACGGGGCCCAGAGGGAAGATGGCCTGGGCCCGCCACCTCCCAGCATGGATCCTCGATTCAGCTTCCATGTGTCGGGGCGGGTCAGCTCCTCCCTCCTTCAGCAGATGGAAAGTGCCCAATGTGGACCATAAGCTACAGGAGAGGGACACGTTCCCTCCTGAGGCCACCACAGGGCTTGGCTGGGCTGAGAGGGAGGGTGCACCGCCCACTCCTGAAGGAGGAGAAAGGGTCTGTGTTAAAGGGACCGTCACCCTCATGCCCCAGGTGTGTTCTGTGAGGGGTGAGGTCCCCTGAGGCCACACTGTATTCCCTCTGCCTGTGACCTGGAGCTCACAGTGGGGAGGGGACCCGGTGTCTCCCTTACCTGTCACCACTAGGAGCAGGGAGTCACTCAGCTCTGAGAGTATGTCCTCAGTGGTGTAATATGCACACTGGTACAGCCCTGCATGGTGTGAGGTCGTGGCTCCAATGAGGACACCTGCCTTGATGCTGGAGTCCTGTGGGATCCTTGTTTCGAAGGGCTCAGAGCGCCTGTCTTTATACAGAACATAGGCACTACCCTGCAGAGACCCCTGACACCAGATGGTCACAGGGCTCCCATTGGTGATGCTGGGGCCCGGGTCAGCCCAGATGGAGGGTTTGGAGACGTCTCCTGGAAAGGAATCAGACCTGAAAGGTCTTGGGGAGCCCTTATCTCCTCATGACGTCATGAATGAGACAGTGCTGTCATTTAATGAGCACCTACATGTGCAAGGTACGTGCTGGGGTTGCCACTCATCTCCTCTCACCGCACAGCAGTCATGTATCAGGATTGCTGACCCCACCACCCACTTCACTGAGGCTCAGAGAGGTTAACCACGTGCCCCATGTCACCCAGCCTGGAAGGGGCGGGGCTGGGACTGGAACCCAGGACTGTGGGTTCCCTGTGCTGTCCTCACGCTGCTCCCCAGGGGGACACTAGCTTCGTGCTCTGGGCTCCTCCTGTGCACCGGCCTGTCCACGTCTCATCTGGAGCTGAGGGTCCTTCCTCATTACCCATCCCCAGCACAGCAGGGACAGGAGGGGCAGGGTGAGGGGTGGACTCCCTGTCTCTCCAGGATCCATCTCCACCCTGCAGGCCCTGACGCCCCTTGGGAAGGTCGGGCTGGGCTGGGGGCTCTGCCTTCCTGAGCTCTGTGAGGCCCTTCTGTCACCTCATCTCCCAGCAGCCTGTGAGCAGGATGGGACCAGGGATGAGCAGACAGGAACCCGACACTCAGAGGAGAGAAGGGACCGCCCAGCCCCACAGCAGGAGCAGCAGAGCCAGGAGCTGAACCAGGGCTGACCCACCCTGTTCCCTCCTCTGAGCTGAGCCTGAGCTGAGGGGTAGGACTGGGTGCCCGGACCCTTGTCCTGCCTGTCCCTCCCTGTACAGTGTCACCGTCACTGAGACAGAGGGGACAGACCCCATAACATCACATCCTGGGGGCTTCCCTGTGAGACCTCTGTCCCAGGAGGTCAGGGCCAGAACTGAGAGGAAATGTAAGATCTGGGCAAGGATTCTCTCCTTTTACACTGGGAGACACTGAGGCCCAGGGAGGGGAAGTGTGAGTCAACGTGAGACTTCAGAGGTTCCTGAACCATCACATGGCTCAGCCCTTGTCCCCATGGAGGCACCCACTACCGCCACACAGAGACCCCACTTCCCCGCTGTGGGCCTGACTCCCTGTGTGGGGGAGACCCATCCTCAGATCCCTTGGGGCCTGTGGTTCCCTGAAATCTGTCCTTAGCTCTTAGTAGCCTAAGGACACAGTCTGCCCTTAGCGCATGGGGGGCATTAGGTCCTCAGACCCAGAACTGTCCAAGGGTGCTGTCTCCCTCTGAGCAGAGAGCACCCTCTGGGCGGGGTCTTGGGCCCCTGGGTCCTGGGAAGGACTGCAAGAGGGGGACAGCCTGGGGCTGACCCTGGAGCCCCCCTCCACAGAGTCCTCACTAAGTCTCTCCCACTGCCCACCTGCACCTTCTGGACCAGGTGAGGGAGAGATTTGGGGAGGGGATAGGGGGTGTCTGAGGTGCAGATCTCTCTGGGTGACCACCCCTACAGCCCCTCCCTCCCTTTCAGCCCATGATTGTTCTGGGGAGGGGACCCTGAGCTGACAGCTCAGCAGACTGGATCAGGGGCCCTCACCTGAGACCAGGATCACCAGGTCATCACTGGGATGTGAGCACACCTGGGAGCTGTTCCTGTAACAGCCATAGCATCTGAACGTCCCCCTGTGGCTGCGGGTCACAGGACCTGCAGGGAACAGGGCCTGGGACCACCCACTGGAATGTGGCTGTGAGTCCAGGGCCCAGGAGAGCCTGTCATTTCCCTCCTTAGTCAGAAGGAACCTGTCAAATCCCTGCCATGAGCCACACTGGAGGGTCACGTTCTGTCCTGAGGTCACGACAGGGCCGGGCAGGGCTGCGAGGCTGGGTTTGCTGTAGGATCCTAGGAGAGGAGGCAAGCAGCGTGTTAAATGGGGCTCACACCTCCCTCATGGCCCCCAGGGCTGGGCTGTGAGAGGGAGACACCCTGAGAGCAGATCCCCTTCCTGAGGGGAGAGCCTGAGGCTGGGACCCCTGAGTTTCCTCTCACCTGTCACCACCAGCTCCAGGGGGTCACTGCGCTCTGACATGTTAGTGGGGCTGATATATAGACAGCGATATATCCCAGCATCACGTTCTGCCATGTGTGTGATGGAGAAGTTGGCCTTATTCCTGGGGTCCTGTGGCTCCTGTCTTTTGGATGATGGTGGACTTCCCTCTTTCTCCAGACGGTACTCCTCAGCCCCTGGGGTCCCCTGACACCAGATGGTCACGGAGCTTCCCCGGGGGATCACACGGCCTGGCTCTGCCCAGAGGGTGGGCTTGGGGAGGGGCCCTGGAAGGAATCAGAGGCTGGGTCACAGGACATTCCCACCCCTGGTCCCAGCTCTCAATCCCAGATGCTCCCGTCTGTCAGACAGATCTGCACCCCTTCCCCTATTGCCTGGGGGGTGGCCTATGTCCCCAGTGAGGAGTGGAACCTGGGACACCTGGGGTGACTCACCTGCCTGCACTGGGGTCCTGAGGCCCACACTCAGCCCTGGAAGAGAGTCCCTGTGAGATATTTGCCCTGAACCCTGAGCAGCACCCTCCTCCCCATGAGCCTCCTGAGTCCTGGGTCCTGACAGACCAGGGCTCCCCTCCCCCTCCCATCTCACCGAGGCAGAGCAGGGCCCTGAGGGTGGGGGTCATGGCCTCTTCTCCCTGTGGCCTCAGCTGAGCAGATGGAGGAGGCCCTGGCGCCAGCAGGATGGACAGAGGGCCACACAGGTGGTGGTCACTTGGAGGCCACTCCTTCTTGTCACAAGGTTGTCACGACAGCAGCCCACAGGTGAGGGCACAGCCTCTCTCTAGCAGCCTGGCTGTCATTTCCATGGTGAAGCAGGAAATAGACCCAGAACCTCCTGAGACGCCCCTTGCAGCTGAGGTGACCCAGGGCACGTCCTTCCCTGTCAGAGCCTCCCCCACGGGGTCTCCTTCCTCCTCAGCTGGTCCGTCAGCACCTCCCTGGGGTCCTCACCATGGACAGTGTCACCCGGGCCTGGAAACGCTTCAGGAAGATGTGGGGTCCCTGTGGCCTGCAGAGCTCAGATCAGCAGGGACACGCTCACCCTCTCACTGTGCAGCTCAGGGCGGTGTCCCCTGTGACAATGAGCGCAGAGGGAAATGCAGGGAAATAGGGGGAAGGAAACAGGTCCCTTCTGTCGCCCCAGAATCTGGGCTTTTTTTCTATCACATGTTCATGAACTTCTCTTTTTCTCAGCCACAGCCTCCAGCCCCTCCTTCCTGGGCACATGCCTCCGGGTCATTTTCCCCCTCTGGGCCCCTCATTCCTGGAGCAGAGCTGTCCCCCTGGGCTCATGGCTTGTCTTAGACAGTAAGAAGCCATGATTCAATCTGGAGCTTTGGTTAGTTAAGAAAAATCACCTTTTTAAAATACTTGTGTCCCACCTGCTTCCTGTGTGTAGTGAGCAGTAATGTCTCAATCAGGTGTTTTCTTCCATTTATTTTTACAAGAGACCATCCACTGTAATTTATTTACTTTTCAATGAGTTTAACTCCTGAGGGTTACAGGATTACACGGGTTCTGTGTCTAATGGTCGGAGTGGGACGGTTCCTCTGGAATTTGGCACGGACCGTCCACTCTCTCCATGAGCATGAGTTCCCTCTCTCCAGGTGACTCGGAATTTGTGTTCTTTGCCACCAGGAGTCACTGTGCTGCTCTTTGCTTTGTACACGGAGCACATCTCTTGCCCAGACAGAGTTCAGTTTCATCTCCCACACACACCTTCAGGTTTAAGGGCAGTGTGAGCTGCCTTTACCCCAGAGACCTCGCCTGCAACCAGCAGAGCTGATCCGAACCACAGCTTCCACACATATTTGTGCTCATAGACGTCCTGCTACCTGCGGGCCCCATGTCCAGCAGCTGGAGTGCCATTCACATACTTTTCTTCTTCCTCCCCCCCCCAAGAATATATACATATTTCTTTATTGATTTCAGAGAGGAATGGACAGGGAGAGAGAAACATCAATGATGAGAGAGAATCACTGATCGGCTGCCTCCTGAATGCCCCACATGGGGATCAAGCGGGAAAGCTGGGCATGTACCCTGACTGGTAATCAAATCATGACCTCCTGGTTCATAGAACGATGCACAACCACTGAGCCATGCCGGCCGGGCTGATTCTTATTGAAATAGTCCACCATTGTCCATTGGGTGTGTGACCTTCACCCTGAAAGTACAATCTCTTGGGTCTCAGTTTCCTCTCATGCAGCACGTTGTGAAGATCCCAACTCCTAAGAATGGTTGTGGGGTCGATGCCACGGGGACCTGGAGGGAGCCATCCTGGTCTATTTCCACACCTGACTAAGCCCCGTGAGGAGAGCCCTGAGCGGGGTTGTTCAGAACTCCGCAGGAATTGGATGATTGCTATACCCACGTACAAAACCCATCTGCTCCTGATACTGAGAAAGGCTATGCACACTGTTTCTGAAACTTGTGGCCATCCTCAATGCCCAAAAGGGAAGTGGATGTTCCCCAGATGGAGAGGGAAGCAGAAGAGATAACAGGGACCAACCCTGAGTGGCTACTGTGCCTGGGTGCAGCCAGAAGTCATCAGCGTGGACTTTCCCACCTCTGTGTGGACAAGAGAGGGACCCAGGGTGGCCACACAGAGGGAGGGGAATGGACTAGGGTGAAATTTAGAGCAGGGTTTCCCCTTCACATGCTTTGGATAAGGGCACTGGGGTCTCTCTGCCAATAGACCCAGCCCATGGTCAGCACTGGAGCCACACCCCCTGTGTGTGATTGAAACGGATTCAATCCATTATAGCCCGGGGTGAGCGTCTGTCCAGGAGTGAGTGTGAGGCTCACCTTTGGAATGGGCCCTGCTGAGTACATCACAGTCAGATGCTAACTTAGGGAGAGTGGATGCCACAGGGCAGGGCAGATACCATTGGCTAATGGGAATGGACTGATGGTTAATGGGAATGGAATGGGGACTAATCGAATGGAGTGAGGACTGATGGGAATGGAGTGATTGCTGATGGGATTGGAGTGGGGATTGATGGGAATGGAGTGAGGACTGATGGGAATGGAGTGGTGGCTGATGGGAATGAAGTGATGGCTGATGGGAATGCAATGGGGACTGATGGGAATGGAGTGGGGACTGATGGGAATGGCTTGGGGACTGACGGGAATGGAGTGAAGGCTCATGGGAATGGAGTGGGGACTGATGGGAATAAAGTGATGGCAGATGGGATTGGAGTGGGGACTGATGGGAATGGAGTGGGGACTGATGAGAATGGAGTGGGGACTGATGGGAATGAAGTGGGAACTGATGGGAATGGAGTGAAGGCTGATGGGAATCGTGTGGTGACCGCAGCTGCCAATGGAAAATTTGTTCTGGATTAAACAGTGACAGACACTCTAAAGAGGAAGATCCGTCGACTGTAGAATCAAGGCAACTGGCAGATCCAGGTGCAGATACAGATTTGGATTTGTTTCCAGTTTGATATTTTTGTTGGCAGTGATCCTTTAAGGCCGATCCTTTTGGGGAAATTGGTCTATTTGGAGGTGATCCTTCAAGGGTTCAGATCCATGTACATCGGACAGCTTTCTCAGGCGATCTTCGCCTGACCCTGTGGCCACATCTGGTGTTGAGCCTTTCAGTGCAGCCGGCATCAGCAGTGACCCTTTGGTAGAAACACTGAAGCACATCAATCCAATTGCTCTTGGATGGATTGGTTGTTGCAACTAAGAATTTGCCCAAAGACCCCATTGCTTCTGGTTTTGGAGAGGAATCATTTGAAGGTGGATTTGCTGACTTCAGCACATTGTCAATGGCCAACAATGAGGACCTTTTTAGTTCAGCCTCATCCAGCATGATCAGCAATGTCATCATTACACAAAATGTGCTTGGAAAGTTTCAGCCAACAGTGAACATGTACCTCCAGCCCTATCACCAGAGATCAGACTTCAGCCACAACCTGGTCACCACCACCTGGGAAAGACCCAGCAATAAATTGGATTCTTCTTGTCTCATTTAACTGAATGATCCAGTTCAGCCTTTGCCAGGCAGTGACCGTCCCAAAGAAAAAGATGCTGATATATTTTGTGTTCCATTCACTGTACTACTACCACCACTACCAATAAAGAGTTTTTCCCAAGTGCTTTTGTTAACTTACTCTTTTTTTGAAGAAGATGTGATTGAATGGGCCAATCCGGAATGAATGTGAGAGAGAAGAGCGGAGACATTCCTGATTGAATCAGTGGGAGCAGGACGACTTAGCACTGACTATTGCACCGAGCACATCTGAGATTCAGAAGCAGGAAGAATTCTCTTGTCCTTGGTCAACCATATAATATTCTCCTTCTTGAACAGTGAAGCTATTTTCAGTGTGTATCAAAACTACCTGTGAGCATGGGAATCCAAAAGGCTTGAGATTGCTGAAAATGTGAAATCATAATAATGACTCACAGTGCCATGAAAGACTATCTACAGAGTCATTAATGGGGGTTATCATGGAAACCTCTCAAAGAAACAGAACACTAGGAATACATGAATCTCATTTTAATTGAATGTTTAAACATCTGACAATGAAAGGACAGAATTGATTTCTTGGACAGCAACAGGCATCATAGGAGAGAATTACATAAAATTTTTGTAATGGATCATGCAAATGTCTAAGACTTAAGAACAAAAAGTAATTTCATTTAGCACACTCAAACATTCTTTCCATCAAGGAGGAGATACAGCTGAAGATACAAATCTGAAAGTGGAGGACAACATTGGGGAAATTTTGTGAGGTGCAACACAGGGGGACTGGAACTAGAAAATTCAGATACATGGGGAATAGAAAGAGAAATGCCACTGAAGCTGTGAGATCCAGGAGGAGAGCATTGAGGATAATGTCTGCTTCATTCCTAGAGGCCAATGGCTGGGTATGTTACAGAGAAGCAGTGACAACACAGTGCCAGGGTGCATGAATATGCAAATGAAATGTATGTCCTGATATTCATAGAAAGTGGGGGAAAGTGATGGGAGCTCACGTTCAAACAGAAACATAATGCCAAAAGTTATGGGAAAAGTCCATTCAAATACTTGATTGTGAATGAAGAATCCTATACTCACCCACATTTTTATTACAAGGCTAAGGTGAAAGTGTCAGAGGGGAGAAATCCATGAGTTTGAGAAGAGAGAGGCACGTCCAACCCTATGAACTCACATCTCATGTGTTACATTCCCCAGGTCAGGTTCTGACTTCAGGAGGGAGGAGGCGGCTTGGGTGGTAGGTCCTCAACCATCAGAGACTTTCTCCCTCCTTGTATTTGAATTATATTCTGTCTTTGAAATAAAACAAGTTTTTAAGTGTCTTAATGGAAATAAGACATTTGCAGACATACAAGGTCTCTATTATTTACACACTCACTAAAAGCACACTAAGATAGTAATTAAACCAACAGCACAACAAACAAAAAGTAGAGAGAGTGAGATGTAAAAGCGAGAAAAGCAATGGCAAGACTAATAAACTTTGAAAAAGTATATTGGCACATACATTCACATATACATTATTAATTAAGAAAGGTTAAATAATATTAGGAGTGCGTGTGTGTGTGTGTGTGTGTGTGTGTATGTGTGTGTGTTTGAGACACATGAACACACACAGCTTTTGAAATTAGGTACAGGTTCAGCTAACCTGTAGTGACCTTTTCTCATCTAAAGAAGAGAGTGAATAAAAAATGGTTCACAATTATAGATATAAATACCAATATTAACATTGGTGTAACTATTCCAATTGGAAATGCATGTATAACCTCCAAACTGGTTGAAGTAAATATATAAAACAAATAAATGTGAATCAATTTTAAACTGGTCTGGAAAATTTTTGAAAAAGCGACTTAAAATGAACCGTATGTACTAGTTAAATAAAATGATGCCAACAATTTAAAATTATTTATTATCTAACATTAAAACATCTGCTCAAGATAGTAGGGAAAGAAAAGGAAGTACTCAAATCCTTCCACAACTACAGCAAAATCACAACTAAACTACAGAACAAACATCATTCAGAACCACATGAAATCTAGGTGAACAGAAGTTCACAAGTAAGGATACAAAGAAG